GATAATACACTCCTGCAACAAGGGACAACAATCATTGATATTATAATCATTAATTTTTCTCTTCCATACATCTAATTTTTTTCTGAAAGCTGAAATCTTCTCCGCCAATTTTAAAATGTGCGTGTTGCGGCCTTACAGGGAGAGTTTCAACGCATTTAACTTTTCAAAGATATCACATAAGTATGCTAGATGAATCAAAAAATCCGTTTCTACAAAGTACTTGGCATACTGGTGTTTTTCTTCTTCAAGAAAAATGTACATTTCTTGCCGTAATTGAAACGTACGAGACAAAACATTACCACGAGAGAGCCATCGTGAGTGGCAGTAGTATAACAGAGACGTGTGTTCTGCACCCATATCCTCAAACATTTTTTTGAAAAACCTTGCTTTCACCGGCCTAGTTTTTATATAATTTACCACAGTTACCACACGTTCTAAGACCAAATTTAGTAAAGGACTCATATTCTTTGATGCAAGCGCTTCTCTATGAATGATGCAATAGGTCCATACTGAATCCGGAGCTTTGTTTCGAACAAGCGCCTGTAATCCTCCATAACGGCCAGACATTGAACGACCACCATCAGTGCAAACACCAACGCACTTTGTCCACTCCAAATTGTTTTCAACCACAAATGTATTCAGGATCTCGAACAAGTCTTGCGCCTTTTTACTTGCAGTGATTTTTTTACAAAACAGAACATCCTCCACAATGGTATTATCATCCAAGAACCTTATGTAACAAATCAAGTGTGCATCTTCACTAGAATCTGTTGCCTCATCCAACTGTAACGCAAATTCACTTTCTTTTATTTTTTCCATTATTTGATCATTAAGATCCTCCGCGATACGCTGAATTCTGCGACTGATGGTGTTGTTAGATAAAGGCACCGATGAAAGAAGTTTTCCCGCAGATTCTCCGATCATAATGTTTACCAAATCTGCAGCAGCCGGTAGAATTAATTGTTCTGCGATTGTGTGGGGCTTTTTACACTTTGCAACTTTATACGCAACCTTGTATGATGCCAGCAAAGCATTTTTAGGTATCGACAAATGCTTGGAAAAGTTACCTTTTTGTTGCTTCAAATCATTTAACTTCCTGGTAAAAAAGCTACGAGGTTTGTCAGCAAAGTTTGGATGATTGGCTTCCAAGTGGCGTTTTAACTTACTTGGAAGCATGCATTCTGGAGCCAAAAGTTTCAGGCACAATACACATTGTGGTCTCTCTTCATCATTGACGTTTGTTGATGTAAAGCCAAAATCCAAATAGCTGTCATCATATTAACGGTATTTTCGTTTCTTCACGACTCTACCACTATACCCTGTCTACCCAACAGACGGAGTTATCACGTGAATACCATGTGAACTTATGAAATATTATAATCATTCCTGCAAACTGTCAAACTAGTCAGAATTCGTGACAAACAGTTGGTCAGTGAGAGAACAATAATACTGTCATTAGTGCTATCATCCTAACTGCGCTGGTCGACTATTCGTTCATAGTTTTGGACGGTTCGGCCACTTGTTGAGAAGAAACCTATTATACGAATACGTTCGCATTGAACCAGTGACGTACCAGAAAAATAAAATAAAAAGTTATTATACAGATAAAAATTGAAATAAACGATTTTATAACATGTTATGTACATTGTAATGAAAAAAAAAACCGTAAATTGCAATAGGATGATTTGGGAGCGTTATAAAAGCTTGAGATACCGCCAAAAAGGTAAATACCGCAAGCTTCACTGTACGGGAAATATATATATATATATATATATATATATATATATATATATATATATATATATATATATATATAGTGTTAATTTTAAACAATTTCTAGCATTTGGCGTAGAAGTGGACAATACAATTTTAAAATATAACCTCAATCTGACACTATAACTTAAAAATTTTTAATGCAATACAAAAATAATAGAAGTTCCTTAAAAAGTAAACAATAAAACCTGGAAGTGTCTTTAACAAATGGGGAGAAATGGCAATCAAAATACTATAGGCTAACTTTAGGCAATGTGGACATTATACACATGTAAACTTAAATGTGTACGTAATGGTAGCTTACCCCACTGATGCTTTAAAGTGTGCACCCGGTCTTACGTGATAGGTCGAATTCAGGAGGTGTCTCTGTGATGAAAGGTATAACTGTATTTGGTTCAGGTTCCGACCATTCATAGATTCATTTGGTGGTCATGTTGAACTCGGTAGCAGCAGCTAATTCTGCGGTTTGTATTGGAGATTTTCTGGAGGGCAGTCGACCTTGGTTTGCATCTTTTATATAGTTGTGAATCGGCAGCGCCGTGTTGCGCTAAGGATCTTGTTATATACTTTGGTCAGCAGATTGAGTCGGCGAAGGTGTAATGGTGTAATGTCGCTCAGCATTGGTACTAAATGGGTTGGTGTAGGTTTGGGTGAGCTGGATATCAATCCTTTGAACATCAGTACTGTTGATCCATATTGGTATGCAATATTCAGCTAGAGAATAAACAATAGCTAAGTCTGAAGACCTGAGTCTAGATACCGATGCCTCCATTTTGTGCCGCAGAGCTTCTGAATTGGTTATCCATATCTAAAATAAGGCAGTGATATAGATATTTATTTTACAAATTATTTTTACGCTTTGACTAACTTGTTTTTTAATATATATTCTCAGGTTCAGAAATAATTTATACATTTTTATACTGCGTGATTACATCCACAATAGTTTTTTGACCAATATCTGTATTAGTATATGTACTTACCTAATTTCTTTAAAGTCTTAACATATAAAATAAATACAATTAACACAATAACACAATACACAGCACAATATTTCTTCAAAATACCTTAACGTACGCCCTTGTATGCAATACCGATAACTGACCGATACAACTTCTGCGAAGTAAGTAATTTGACTGTCGCTTTTCAACAATCACGTGCAGATCACGCATTTGTATTACTCCGTCTATTCGGTAGACGAATTATAGTTTGTGGTGCATCCACTTTATTTTTAGAACCACCTTGTTTATTTAAATTCAAAAACTTTTCCATTTTTACAGTAACTTTTGTACTCAAGTAGGTGAAACAACCCTGTTTATATTCACACTGATAAACGAAACGATGCGAATAGTATGAAACTACAAATTCAACTAACTAAAATTTAGATAAGTAAAAATTTATGGTTTTAAAATGTGCACGTGCAAATAGACGATTGAATTTGCCGACCGGCAGTGATTTATGGCCTGTCGGTCCGAAGTCAATTTACAGTAGTGACAGAATTGTTTCGTGGAATTTAAAATATCGAGGATATATTGTCGGCATCAAATAAAATTACTAATAACTGAACTCGTTTATCATGGGAAACATTTTTATATAGGTATATTTTAAAAGTTAAAAAGTTGTCATAACAACTTTAGTTTAATGTTTATTTAATACTTGAAGGTCATTATGTTATTATGTCTAATATTGGAAGAAAACTTTCGCGGCGCCCCTGTAGTCGAACCACGGCGCCCCAGGGCGCCGCGGCGCACAGTTTGGGAAGCACTGATATAGACTATAAAAAAAACTTTCTACGATTTCTAAACATTTCTACCAGCCAATAGAGCGAGGCGGGATTTTTGGAACAAATAATCTCCTACAGAGCATTAAGAAGCTAATAGAAAAGACTATCGAATACAATCGACCACTCGTTCTGGCTTTTATAGATTTCCATAAAGCCTTTGACACCTTAGAATTTGACAAAATCCTGAAAGCATTACAAGCCTGCCGCATTGACTACCGATATACAAGGTTAATTTACAATACATACAAGAACACAACTATGTCAGTGAAACTACATGAAAATACGGATCATATCCAAATCGGCAGAGGAGTCCGACAGGGTAATACCTTATCGCCTAAACTGTTTACCGCAGTACTGGAATATGCTTGTAAAAAACTTAACTGGGAAGAGAAAGGCCTGAACATTGACGGTAGAAGATTAACAAATTTGAAATTCGCAGACGACATAGATTTGTTCTCGGACAACCTCAAGGAGATATGTACAATGCTACTTGAACTTCAGTTAGTGTGTGCCAGTGTGGGTCTTAAAATAAACATCTCCAAAACAAAATTCATGACAAACCTACTACCTAGCGGAAATATCAATATTGGAGACAACGAAGTAGAGCTGATGGAAAAATACATATATCTTGGACACAAAATAAAGATCGCAAGAGACAACCAAACATACGAACTACGAAGAAGAATAAACCTAGCATGGGCAGCCTATGGAAAATTCAAAGACATCTTTAAAAGCGATATACCAATTTCTTTAAAACGTAAAACATTTGACCAATTAATATGTGTTACCTGTGATGACCTATGGTGCCGAAACTTTGACATTGACAGCTACAAATTCTAAAACGCTGCAAATAGCTCAGAGGAAAATGAAAAGGTCAATCCTGAGTGTATCGCTTCGTGACCGAGTTAAAAATGAAGACTTAAGACGAAGAACAGAACGATGTAATTTCCACAAGAGATTGCTTGAGTGGAGGTCAAGGTTAGACAAAAGAAGTAAAGGAAGACCCCTACTCGTTGGACTGACGATATCAAGAAAATGTCAAGAAATTGGATGAAAAGTACTCAATATAGAGCACAATGGACAAAAATGAGGGAGGCCTATGTCCAGCAGTGGAAGCAAAGGGCTGGATGATGATGATATATATAGGCTCAGTTTAGTTTGAGTTGCCTCCATTGCTTTGACCAATATATAAGGATTAATCGAGATAATTGACCGAGTAAGTGTTTTCCAGAAGTAATTTTGTGAAGGTCGTTCAACATCGGCTATTGTACCAAAAAACAGCGATGCTTCTCATTTATTAATACAGAAGAATTGTACGGAGACTTAGCATTTTATTAAATAAAACCTTCGTTTCGTTCACGTACATTTAATATTGCATAATATTGGGTCGTCAGATAGATTTGTTGCTTTTGGATATCATAATTTAATTTAATTTTTTTTGTTACAGATTGGGTCTGAGCTAAGCTGTAGTGGAGCGGACGCTGATATTTCTTGGAAAGTTTTAATCGGTTGCATCGTTGTTGTAATTGTAGTTTTACCTTTAATTTATACGTTATCGTTAATGTTCGGTATCATAAAACCTGTAACTTACCAACATTAATACGGTGCATAGTATAGTTTAATATAGGTAAAAAAAAAACGAATATTTAAATATTTCCAGTCTCGTTGTCCTGTTCACATTATTTGCAAAAGAAATAGTTTTTAGATGCTTGCCTTACTCCTCTGACAAAATTGAACATTTTAAGGTTATGTTAAGTCAGAGCTCTTATATACCTAGCAAATAATAATAACAATAACAAAACAAAAAAAAAACAACTTAAATGTGACTTAACCTAAGTACAATATGGTGTGAAATAACAAAGAAACACTACTAAAAAATAGCTTAATAGTTAGTATTGTGTTATCTAGACTCTATAACTGCCTGTACACTTCGGTTCATGCTGTCTATAAGGTTGTGAATATCTTGCTGGATGTTTTGAGCCAAGCGAAGTTCGTTAATTGAGGTTGGTGCGACTTCACGACCTCTAATATTTCTACTAAGCGTATAAACGTGCTCTTTGTCCCAAACGTGCTCTATTGGGTTCAGATCTGGCGAATACGCTGGTCAGTTCAGTTTATTAATACCAACTTCCTCTAAATATTGCGTAACGCACATTGCAGAGTGGGGTCGCGCATTATCTTGCAATAATAGAAAATCATTGCCGATATATTGAGAAAATGGTACTACGTGATTCGCTAAAATATCCTTAATATACCGGTGTGCAGTCAATGAACCCTTAATACCAATTCAGTGAGCGCCTCTAGGAGCTCATTTTTCTCTATATTTTCTCTGTTTGCACCGCTGTTAAATGGCGATCCCTCAAAGCGTTGCCTCGTATAAAAGGATGATCTAAAGCGGTAATTTTGCGCTTAATGGCCCATTCCTCGTTTTATGGTTGTTTGTTCCAATTCGTATAAAACGTCCCACTACCCTTTGGATGGTAGATCGATGAGTTTGTAGAACTCTAGCCACATGTTCATAATTTCGCTCATCTTCAACCAGAGCAACGGCTTTCGCACAATATTTGATGCTAAGAACCATGATCAATCATAGGTAAACAAAATGTAAGTGTCAATATGACAAAATGATAACAGTCACCAAAGCCATCTCGTCGTATTACAACATATTCATAATTAAAAAAGTCCTAAATTGTGGGCGGGAAATTTGGCTCTAAAAAATGAACCATGGCATGTTTTGACATGCCGTTTACAAATTGTTGATAGCACGAAATGTGTCTCAAAGTTATAAAACGGTCGTAAAATTTGTATCATCATAGGCGTTCCTGAGGTGTTTATTTATTAAAATTAATATTAATATTAATAATGTTTTAATACTAATATATTTAGCAAAAAACAATTAAAACTTTAACGGCTAATGTTGGTTATTATATTATATTATTAAAAATAAGAATTTAACCATTAACAATTTTGTAAATAAGAATACCTTATCTCTTTGGATATTTCAATACTAATCTTCGCGTTTAATCACTTTACTAGAAAACATGGAATTCATATCCGAAGGTACTATTCGTTGCAAGATAATTAGGATGGAATTCCCCAGATTTTTAATAATATAATGGGTATAAAGATGCCGGCTTTGGCCACGTGCCTCGTATGTTCAGTTTATATTCAAAACTTAACTTGAAAGGGTGAAGTTATTACGAACGAAAACAATTTTTTTGTTTAGTACCTTTTTGATCGCATGTAATTTACGGCTCCTCGGTGTTTCCGCGTCTACGGCAGTAATTCGCGTCTCGAATATTTCTTTTGCGAATTATATGCAGTGCGCGAGTGATTTTTTATTCCATATACCTACGAACATATACGTACCTTTCGCTCGTGCTCGTTTTCAACATCATCAAGTTTTACACCGGTACTATTGCGTACAGTCAGTAAGTCTGTCTATTCACCAAGAGAGAAGATTATTGTCCTGAATGTTCACGATGATCTGGTTTTCAGAATCCCACAGACACTGTTCGTAACATAGTCGAAAGTTGTGCGAACATGACTGGCGTAGGGGAGTCAACTATATATAGGTTCCTATCAGAAAAAAAAAACACGGTATAGCTAATCCAAACACAAACGAACACTTAAAGAGAGGGAAAAAGCCTATTGAAATTGATGAATTTGCCAAAAATGGTATTCGAAGGAAAATTCATGGATTTTTTTTTTCAAAAAAGAAATACTAAACCTAAACAAAATTTTACAAGAAATTAGAGACGACCCGAATTTGTGCCCCGAACTAAATTGTGGCAAGTTTTAAAACAATTAAATTTCCGGTGGGAGCAATCAGACCAAAAATCACTTTTGATTGACCGGAAGGAGATAATATGTTGGAGAAGAAATTATCTAAGATCCATAGGAAAATTCCGGGCTGAAGGAAGGCCAATCTTCTACCAGGATGAAACGTGGGTAAACTCAGGTCATACTCTTGCTTTTGCATGCAATATTTTCAATTAAAAATTATACTATATTTTCTCTTTTATTTTCACCCCTGTTACATAACATATTTAAATAAACATCGTAGTAATAAACTTTCTGCCCTCAGTTTTAATGTAATCTTTCATTCTGCGTTTAAATTTTTCAAAAATATTTATTAGTTTTTTCCGGATTCGAAAATAATGGATACATTTAAAACACATTGAAAATTTTGCCAGGCGACATTTGGCGCCTTTTCTCTTAATTAAATAAATGTATCTTTTACAAATGACAAGAAATTTTTTATTTTTGAATAAAATAAAGAAGAAATAAAGAAGTATTAAAACAAAAATACAATTTCAAAAATATATTTATTTAATTCAAATAAATGTTTCAATCAAATACTCTACGATACTGGTCGGTTATCTGCAACCAAAATACCTTCGTAATCAGATTATACAGTTGACTGCTGTATTGTATTTCTTTGGATACAAGGTGGGTTAGTCGAAAACATCCTAAACCGTCAGTTTCAGATTGGTTTTTACTATTATATCGTATAAACTATCCTCTCTGTATTTCAGTTTTCTAATTAGGGTTAAACTTGTACTGAGCTATCGACAAATTGTGAAACGAGTATAGAGGACATGGTTGCCAGCGAAAAATAAAGTTTTATGAAAATTCGCAAACGGAATTATTCCACAGGATGTTTCAAAGCTAGGATAATACAACCACGTTTTAATTAACTCAATTAAATCAAAATAGGGCTAAAAATAAAAAAATTGAAATACTTTGAATTGGACCAACATTTTCTTTGTTGTGTTTTTTTGTATCCGAGTGTATAAAAATTATGCTCCAATTCTTCGGACAATTGTTCTTAGTGCTCGTTTTGAATTCGTCTTACAAGTCTACAAAATCTGAGCGATACTTGGAAAATAAAAAGGATAGTATAAATTACGAGATAAACGATAAAATGGAATATAAACAAGACCGCATTACATACGAGGAACTAAAAAAGACTAAACTAAAAAATGAAAAAGCCTCTCAAAATGATAAAAGTAATGTAGGGCCCACTCAAACAGGAGATAACAAGAAAAAATTAAACTCCTTTTAAAATGATGAGCTACTTATCCCTTGTTCTTATATACACACACATAGAAGTATTGCGGGAAATGGACAAGGAATACGAAATAATAAACCTAATAAAAATAAGAAAGTTACAATATCTGGGACATGTAATGAGGGGACATCGATACAAAATGCTAAAATTGATAATACAGGGAAAGATAAGAGAAGAAAGAAGTATATGAAGAAGGAGAATGTCATGGTTGAATAATTTAAAGGCCTGGTTTATATGCAGTGCAATTGAACTCTTCAGTGCACCGAGAGATATATAATATTTTGAATGGTTTTCTTAATTTACGTGTATTATATACATTTCGTTTTTAATTTTCCAGCTAATTATTTTCTTTAGGCATCAGGATTTAGGGTTTTGGAAGGTGTAGTTATTTTGTTTTGTTGTTAGCAATTTTTTATTGTTAAAATACATTATTGTTAAAGTATAAATGTTTCATAGTTATTTTCTAGCCCTGGAAGTTCACGAAAAAAAAGCTTTGTATCTGGTTCACGAGGACGCAGAGGTCTCACAAGCGGTCTCCAACGTTCCACAGCTCGAATAGGACGAACATCAGGTAGTATTTGTTCATCAACTTCTGGAAGACTGACATCAGGTTCATATGCGCCAGGTGGTCTCAAAGTTGGGTCTCGAGAGTTAAGAGGTAGATTTGGTAGTTCCAAATCAGTTTCAGGATGGTGCACATGTAGGCTTGGAGGCTTTTCAGGTGATTCTGGATGTTCATTTGAGCCAGGTGGTCTCAAATTTGGGTCTCGAGAATTACCAGGTAGATTCGGTAGTTCTAAAGGTGTCTCATGATGGTGCGCAGGCACTCTTGGAGGCTTTTCAGGTGATTCTGGATGTTCATTTGAGCCAGGTGGTCTCAAAGTTGGGTCTCGAGAATTACCAGGTAGATTCGGTGGTTCTAAAGGTGTCTCAGGATGGTGCACAGGTGGGCTTAAGGGCTTTTCAGGTGATTCTGGATGTTCATTTGAGCCAGGTGGTCTCAAAGTTGGGTCTCGAGAATTACCAGGTAGATTCGGTGGTTCTAAAGGTGTCTCAGGATGGTGCACAGGTGGGCTTAAGGGCTTTTCAGGTGATTCTGGATGTTCATTTGAGCCAGGTGGTCTCAAAGTTGGGTCTCGAGAATTACTAGGTGGATTTGATGGTCCTAAAGGTGTCTCATGAGGGTGCACAGGTGGGGTTGGAGGCTTTTCAGGTGACTCTGGATGTTCATTAGAGCCCGGTGGTCTCAAAGTTGGGTCTCGAGAATTAGAAACACGTGTTGTTGGTGTTACATGTAACTCAGAAGAGGTCGCAGGTGACTCTGGAGGTTTCACAGATTGCTCAGAAGGTTTCTTAGATGGTATCGGTTCTTCGTTTGTTTGACAACCGGCATTGCTAGGCCAATCACAAAAATGTGTTTTTGGATTATAGTGAGTACCAGATATACAGGAAATTACAATGTTTCCAGGGCACAGATAGAACTTTGTACAGTCTCCAGGAAAAGGGACAGCTTTATCTCCATCGCGACATTGTGCCAATGAAACTGCAAAAAAAAATTTAATTCTATTAAAGGACAAATTAGACTAAGATAGAATCCTTAAAATAAATTTATATTTTTATTATACGTTATAGCCTAAGATCCCACTGCAGGATTACTAAGTTCATAACGTAGTTAATCAAACTCATATTTTTACACATTGAACACATTGATAATAGGTTACTAGTCAAAATTTGGGAGCAAATATATTTAATTCAATTAATAGTAATTTTCGACAAAAATTTTATTTCATTCGTTTATTTTTTAAATAAAATACGCTGACATGTATTTATATTTTTTTATATCGAATTAAAGCTAGTTGAGAAAAAAGGGTCAGTTGTGTGAGTTTTTAAAGCATGTGTCGATAGATATATAATAATATACATATATCACTTGTCAAACCAGTGTTGTTGCACCCTAACTCTATTTTACTTTATCCTTGATACCTTGCGTTTTTAACAGCTGGAAACCCAAATTTTCGACCATTTTTTCTCAGGCAACTTTATATTATAATGTTTTTCTATCAATTTTCTAACATCAACTGCTTTTTCTTGTTTTCATTGTAAACTACACTTTGATATTATATAAGAACAAAACTGTCCATATTTCTATTCCTTTTTGGATATATTTATATGTATTTATATCATGTCAATAAACATGAAAACAGGGGAACCTGTTTATTTTACTATTATTGCAGTTGAAAGTAAACTAATTATTTATGAACTTGCCTGAAGGTGGATGTTTTCCAAAGTGGTCTCGTTCTAAAACGTGTTTAAAATAGTTCAATTCTTCAATACTCTTCCAGTTTAAATCATAATGTTTTTTATCAATATTCTAACATCAACTGCTTTTTCTAGTTCTACTTGTAAACTATATTTTGATATTATATCAGGAAAAAATTGTCCATATTTCTATTCCTTTTTGTGACTATTTATATGTATTCATATCTTGTCGATAAACAGCAAAACAGAGGAACCTGTTTGTTTTACTTGTATTATTGTTGAGATGAAAAGTTCCGAAAACGCAACAGCGGAAAAATAACAGATGACGAAGGCAATCTTGCCATAACCAAAGAAGATAAAAAGAAAGTATGAGAAGAATACTTCGAGAAGAATACTTCGAGAAACCTTAGAACGATACAAAAGCCCACCATTAAAGAAAATTCATGTCCCGAGATCCTACCAGAAGAAATAAGGGCAGCCGTCAGACAAATGAAGGATGGAAAGGTACTGGGGCATGATGAAATTGCAGAACAAATAAAAATGATAACTGAAATATTTAATGAAATATATAAAACAGGACAAATACCAGTAGAGTGGCTCAAATCTGAGTTCGTACCATTGCCCAAAAAACTAGGAGAAAAAGTGTGTGAAGACTATAGGACCATAAGCCTAATGAGCCATCTTCTGAATCTGTTTCTAAAAGTCATCCACAAAAGAATTAACCGAAAAAGCAACTAAAAAATTGCGCTCAATCAATTTGGATTTGTGAACGCCGTTGGTACGAGGGAAGCTTTATTTAGCATGCACGTATTGTTTCAGAAATGTAGAGATGTCAGGTGTAATGTTTTTGCATGCCTGATTGACTACAAGAAGGCTTTCGATAAAGTACATGATGGAAGTGCTACAGGGGACAGGGATTGACGGATGATACCTAACAATAATAGCTAACCTGTATTGGAATCAATCAGCGGTGCTTCGAATAGATGGAGAATGTACAGATCAGGTCAAAATTTTAAGGAGAGTGAGACAGGGGTGCATAATTTCACCACTGATATTCAATCTGTACTCGGAGCACATTTTTGAAGAGGCTCTAAAAGATATTGATGAAGGCATCTCAATAAATGGAGTCATGCTCTTAAATGGAGTCATGCTCAATAACCTGAGTATGCAGATGATACAATAGTGTTTTCTAATACTTTAGAAGGACTGCAAAACTTAATGAACAAAATAACGAAAACAAGTAGAAAATATGGACTGGATATAACCACCAGCAAAACCAAGCTAATGATCATCAGCAAGGAAAACATAACTGGAGCAAATCTGTATGTAAACCAAATGAGAATTGAACGTGTCTTACAGTACAATTACTTGGGAACTATAATTAATGAGTTTTGGGACAATACCCAAGAGATTAAATGTCGTATCGGAAAGACAAAAAGTGCATTCTTGACTATGAGCTCTATGTTCAAGAGCAATGACCTCACCCTAGAAATAAAAATTAGGCTCCTTAAATGTTACGTGTACTCGGTGCTTCTGTACGGAGTAAAAATGTGGAAATTGAAGGCGAAAACTCTATCAACACTTCAGGCTTTTGAGCTATGGTTATACATGATTATACATACTAAATATATAGTTATACATACTGAAGATACCATAGACAGACGAAGTCACCAGTGAAGAAGTACTGCGGAGGATGAACACAACCGCGGATTTGGTCAACATCGTGAAGGGCAGTAAGCTTGGGACATATAATGGGAAATCAAGGCAGCTATTAGCTACTCCAATGCATTTTGCAACTAAAATTGAAGGAAAAATGGCCTCAGGAACGAAAAAGAATATCCTGGCTTGCTAATCTGAGAGCATGGTACAAAAAACCTTAACACAGCTATTCCGTATAGCAACCAACAAAGTCATCATAGCCAGAATTAACGCCAACGTTCGGAACGGACAGGCAACATAAGAAGAAGAAGTTGTTGAAAGTAAACTAATTATTTATGAACTTGTCTGCAGGCGGATCTTTTAAAAAGTGTCTCGTTTTAAAACTTGTTTAAATTATCTTAATTCTTCAATACTCTTCTAGTTCAAATAATAATGTTTTTCCTAATAAAGTTGTATATCATAATATTAAAAAAAAATAGCTTTAATTTGATACAAAAACATGCATATACGTAATGAGCAGCGTATTTTATTTAAAAAATAAAGGACGAAATAAAATATTTGTCAAAAACTAATTATTATTTTATTAAAAATATTTGGTATTTGTCTAGCGGACAGAATATGAAAGAAATTATTTCTTATCAATTTAAAAGAAACGTAGTAGGCTATTTTTTTGTTAAATGTCATTATTTGTTTAGTAATTTATTGATGTTCAGTGACAATTTAGTACTAAAATATTTTTGGTATTTGTGAATGTTTTAATTATTGCTTAGATTTAATTTGAAGTAGAAATGGAGTTAAGTATAAAGCAAAGAATTGAAATACTTATGATGATTGGGTATGGAGACAGATCACGAACTCAGATGGAAGTGTGCAATTTGGTTAATGATAAATATCCAGAAAGACCTATAACTCGCTTAACAGTCAACAAGATACCATAGACAGACGAAGTCACCAGTGAAGAAGTACCGCGGAGGATGAACACAACCGCGGATTTGGTCAACATCGTGAAGGGCAGTAAGCTTGGGACATATAATGGGAAATCAAGGCAGCTATTAGCTACTCCAATGCATTTTGCAAGTTAAAATTGAAGGAAAAATGGCCTCAGGAACGAAGAAGAATATCCTGGCTTGCTAATTTGAGAGCATGGTACAAAAAACCTTAACACAGCTATTCCGTATAGCAACCAACAAAGTCATCATAGCCAGAATTAACGCCAACGTTCGGAACGGAAAAGAAATTTCGAGAAAATAGTACGGTTAAAAATGCACGGAAATCAGGTCGTCCCTCTGCAAATGCTGATACAGCATTAAATGCTTTACTTAGTTTTGAAGAAGATGCGCACACTTCTGTGCGTAAAGTTAGTCGCGATATAGGTGTTAGCAAAACAACGGTACACAAACTATTAAAGCTTGAAAAATGGCATCCTTATAAAATCAAACTTGTGCAGGAATTAAACGAAGATAATCCGGATAGAAGAATGTAATTTTGCGAAGCAATGATGGATAACTGCCACCGAGACCCTCTCTTCGTACAAAACATTATTTTTTCTGATGAGGCTGCTTTCACGTTAAATGGCGAGGTTAACCGTCAGAATTGCAGATACTGGGCAAAAGAAAACCCCCACTGGATGGGTAAGTATCATACACAATACTCGCAAAAGGTAAATGTATGGGCTGCAATTGTAAGAAATCGAATCATCGGACCCTACTTTATCAAAGGTAATTCAAACATGGCAACGTACCTTGAGTTTTTAAGGGGGTATCTCGTATCTACTTTACGTAATTTGTTTCCCAGCAGACGTAATCTTGAAGGTTTTGATGAATGTTTATGGTTGCAACAGGATGGTGCACCTCCACATTATGCTGTAGATGTTAGAAGGTAACTAGATGAAATTTTTCCGAACATGTGGATTATATGGCTGGCCTATTGAATGACCAGCGAGGTCACTAGATTTCAATCCTTTGGGTTATTTTATGTGCGGCCATCTGAAGAATGTTGTGAATCAAACGAAACCAGCAAATATTCAAGAATTACAACAGAGAATTCGGACAGCAATAATTAATATTTCTCAAGACACAATAAACAAGGTTCAACAAGAATTTCTACAACGTTTGGGTGACTGTCAAATACAGCAAGTGCTGCAGTTTGAACATTTATAAAGTCATGTATTTCATCATATTCTGTCTGCTAGACAATAAGTATTTTTGATAATATTGTTAATTTAACTAACGCGTTACTTTGTGAACACACACAAAACTATTGTATTTTTGTCCACCCTGTACCAAATTGAATCAACAAGTGATACATTTTTGCAATCAGTTCAGCTAGAGTAATCCGAAAATTGAGACAAAATGGGGGCGTTCCATTAAAAAAAAATGACGGTGACGTCATTACTCGAAAGTAATTCACCCTGTATATTAGAATATTATTTTAAAATACGGTAAATTAAAATAAAAAATCGACGTGTTTCAGGATTATTTCTTAAAATGCTCTGTTTAGCTAAAAGAATTTGTTCCATACTTTACGGACACAATATAGTGATAGACTAGAGAAAATTATAAAAAAAATAATTATATGAAGGTATTTTTAAGAATTAAGCATAAGAATAAGTTTAAAAAGTTTTTATTTTATTTTATTTTTTTAATAAATTTATTTAAGTGAGCCATGTGCATAGGCAACCAAATATACTGTATTATGACAGATGTAAAATGGGGTTATTTATTAATTTAAGATGTTTAATTTAAATATAATTTGATGTAAAATAGTATTATGTATTAATTTAGGATGTTTAGATTATATATAATTGTATATTCTGACCTGAAAAGACTAAATGTCCATAACATTCTCACTAGAAGGGTAAAGAATTCTCTAGAAAACGTCAATATATAAAGCAGTTAACCCTATTTGCATAGTCGATTATTCCAGAACTTTGACATATTGATCAGATGGAGCAGTTTCGAACACGATTTGTTGCTAGAAGATTCTGGAACCATGAAAAGATATAAATACGACGTAATTTGGAGCAAGGATTCATTCATTCAGACATTAACACACTATTCATTCATTATTAAGTCAGTTACGATTCATTATTAAGTCAGTTACGATTCATTATTAAGTCAGTTACAGTTGATTCATGAAGTTAGTAAAGTTATTACAGTTACAGTATGGAGTTAGTTAATTAAGAAGATAAACAGGGGACAGTTCCACAGTTAATTAGTGAATTTAATAAGAAGTTAGTCAGTTAATAAATAATACAAGCAGATAGTATATAGTATATTTGAAAGTATATTATATAGAGATTAGAATTTAAAATTATAATGTCTATATGGTGATTGAAAATTATTAAGAAGAAAAAATAAGATTATAAGTAAGAAGCAAAGAAGAATATTTTACCCATTTATAAATGCTATTACGAAGAAAAATATTTTAAATAATTGGAAGCTGATAATTAAAATATTGTAGTATATTAGGAAAAAGCAACTTCACAAAAACAAGGATAACCGAGACTGATAAGAAGTTATTGGGTGCTGATTATACCTTTTATTTTGGAAAACAGTTTCATTTAGGCATTCAGTGATAGAAAGGTACCAAATTTTGTTAATAAAATTTAATTATTGTAAGAATTTCAAATTTAAAATAGGTTGTTCTAAATTTATATTGTCTATATTAGATATATAATATGTGTGTGTCATAATAGTTATAATAAAGATAATTTAAAAAGTACTTACAAACTAATTCTTTGAGAACCGCGATAAAAACCCTATCATCAAACAAAACATCATAGCAATATATATATACATACCTATATATATATATATATATATATATATATATATATATATATATATATATATATATATATATATATACTGAACGCCTAAATGAAACTGTTATCCAAAATAAAGGGTATAATCACCACTCAATATCCTTGTTTTTGTGAAATTGCTTTTTCCAAATACTTATACCAGAATGTTTTAATTATCAGCTTCTACCATTTTAAAATATTTTTCTTCTCAATAGCATTTATAATTGGGTAAAATACTCCTCTTTGTTTACTGTTTCTTCTTTGCTTCTTACTTATAATCTTATTTTTTCTTCTAAATACTCTCCAATCACCATACAGATATTATAATTTTAATATACTTTCAAATACTATAAAACACTGTATACTATCCGCTTGTACTATTTACTGATCAACTAACTTCTTAATAAATTCATTAACTAACTCCATATTGTCTTACTGTAACTGTTAACTATCTTGAACTGTCTAATCAATGCACCAATGTCTTAATTAATAACTGTTTAATTGTTCTAATTTACTCTCATACTGTCTAACTTAATACTGTGTTAATGCATCATACTGTTATACTAACTGTCTAATGAATGAATGAATGAATCCTTGCTCCAAATTACATCGTATTTATATATTTTCATCGTTCCCGAATGTTCTAGCAATAAACCATGTTCGAATTTTTCTATTTTCTAGATATATCAATGTTCTGGAATCGTCTTCCTCGCAAATAGGCTTAAGTTCTTATATTGACGTTTTTCTAGAGAATTCTTTACCCTTCTATCGAGAATTTTATGGACATTGAGGCTTTTCAGATCAGAATATACACTTATATTTAAACTAAACATCTTAAATTAATACATAATACTATTTTACATCTGTAATTATTATTCAAATATCACTTTCTGATCAAATTCATTCTTCTGTCATTATAATCTTCTTCTTTTGGCATCATAACCCTGGATGGGTCTTTGCCTATCTGGCTATGTCCTTCCATTCAGATCTCTCTTGTGCCCTTCTTCTCCATTGTCTTATATTAACTGTTTTCAGGTCGTCTTCCACCTCATCCAACCATCTCGTTCTGAGCCTTCCTTTTTTTCGGCTTCCTATGGGCTTCCATTGTAACATTTTTTTTGTTGTCTTTCCATCGTTTTGTCTCTGCACATGTCCCAGCCATGACAGTCTTTGACTTTTCACAAATCTTACAATGTCATAACCTTCATTTAACTCATTAACCTCGTCGTTTCTCCTGATTACCCATGTGCCATCTTCCTCTTGTACCGGGCCATATACTTTCCTCAGTATTTTTCTCTCGAATGTCCTGAGTTGGGCTTCATCTTTTTTCGTCATTACCCAAGTTTCACATCCATAGGTTACTACTGGTCTAATCAGTGTTCTGTAGATAGTCATTTTGGTTCTTTTGTCTAATAATTTCGATATCATCAATCTTTTATTAGCATAGTATGTACGATTCCCGCTGGAAATACGTGCATTAATTTCGCTATCTACGGAGTTCTTCTGATTGATTTCTGTGCCTAGATATGTAAAGGCATCCACTCGTTCGATAGTATAGTTGTCTATTGTGATATTATTTTCATTGTCAGTTATTTTTTTGACTGTCATATACTTCGTTTTTGCTTCGTTTATTTTGAGACCTTTGTCATTATAATACAGTGTCAATTATTAATGTATATTTGGTTGCCTATGCACATGGCTCACTTAAATATATCTATAATATAATTATTAAAATAAAACTTTTTATACTTATTATTATTTGCTAATTTCTTAAAAATAAATCAAAAAATAAATAAACGTAAAATAGTTTCGAAACACAATTCAGATTTCTGCTTTTATCTGTGCTTTCTAAAAATTGCAAAGCAAAACAGACGTTGATAAAGGTGTTAAAAGAGACGTGGGGAATCTAAAATTTGCATTCCACGACACACCTTTTCAACTAAGCAGAAATCCTTAGCGAATTGGTTTCTTGTACTCGTACAGAGTAAATCCGAAAAAAGTGAAAAAGACAGCAAATATTTGATTTCACGCAAACAGCGCCTTTGTATCTGTTGATACGTATTTCGACCTAATAGGTCTCATCAGAACAGTTATTCAAAGGTGTTCTCAACGTGAAAGATCAATATTTCCTGTCTTTTAAGAAGCAACAATAACATGGCTTCGAATACGGACGCACTAGCGACATCTAATTTAACAAACGTACTGTTCTGATGAGACCTATTAGGTCGAAATACGTATCAACAGATACAAAGGCGCTGTTTGCGTGAAATCAAATATTTGCTGTCTTTTTCACTTTTTTCGGATTTACTCTGTACGAGTACAAGAAACCAATTCGCTAAGGATTTCTGCTTAGTTGAAAAGATGTGTCGTGGAATGCAAATTTTAGATTCCCCACGTCTCTTTTAACACCTTTATCAACGTCTGTTTTGCTTTGCAATTTTTAGAAAGCACAGATAAAAGCAGAAATCTGAATTGTGTTTCGAAACTATTTTACGTTTGTTAAATTAGATGTCGCTAGTGCGTCCGTATTCGAAGCCATGTTATTGTTGCTTCTTAAAAGACAGGAAATATTGATCTTTCACGTTGAGAACACCTTTGAATAACTGTTCTGATGAGACCTATTAGGTCGAAATACGTATCAACAGATACAAAGGCGCTGTTTGCGTGAAATCAAATATTTGCTGTCTTTTTCACTTTTTTCGGATTTACTCTGTACGAGTACAAGAAACCAATTCGCTAAGGATTTCTGCTTAGTTGAAAAGATGTGTCGTGGAATGCAAATTTTAGATTCCCCACGTCTCTTTTAACACCTTTATCAACGTCTGTTTTGCTTTGCAATTTTTAGAAAGCACAGATAAAAGCAGAAATCTGAATTGTGTTTCGAAACTATTTTACGTTTGTTAAATTAGATGTCGCTAGTGCGTCCGTATTCGAAGCCATGTTATTGTTGCTTCTTAAAAGACAGGAAATATTGATCTTTCACGTTGAGAACACCTTTGAATAACTGTTCTGATGAGACCTATTAGGTCGAAATACGTATCAACAGATACAAAGGCGCTGTTTGCGTGAAATCAAATATTTGCTGTCTTTTTCACTTTTTTCGGATTTACTCTGTACGAGTACAAGAAACCAATTCGCTAAGGATTTCTGCTTAGTTGAAAAGATGTGTCGTGGAATGCAAATTTTAGATTCCCCACGTCTCTTTTAACACCTTTATCAACGTCTGTTTTGCTTTGCAATTTTTAGAAAGCACAGATAAAAGCAGAAATCTGAATTGTGTTTCGAAACTATTTTACGTTTGTTAAATTAGATGTCGCTAGTGCGTCCGTATTCGAAGCCATGTTATTGTTGCTTCTTAAAAGACAGGAAATATTGATCTTTCACGTTGAGAACACCTTTGAATAACTGTTCTGATGAGACCTATTAGGTCGAAATACGTATCAACAGATACAAAGGCGCTGTTTGCGTGAAATCAAATATTTGCTGTCTTTTTCACTTTTTTCGGATTTACTCTGTACGAGTACAAGAAACCAATTCGCTAAGGATTTCTGCTTAGTTGAAAAGATGTGTCGTGGAATGCAAATTTTAGATTCCCCACGTCTCTTTTAACACCTTTATCAACGTCTGTTTTGCTTTGCAATTTTTAGAAAGCACAGATAAAAGCAGAAATCTGAATTGTGTTTCGAAACTATTTTACGTTTGTTAAATTAGATGTCGCTAGTGCGTCCGTATTCGAAGCCATGTTATTGTTGCTTCTTAAAAGACAGGAAATATTGATCTTTCACGTTGAGAACACCTTTGAATAACTGTTCTGATGAGACCTATTAGGTCGAAATACGTATCAACAGATACAAAGGCGCTGTTTGCGTGAAATCAAATATTTGCTGTCTTTTTCACTTTTTTCGGATTTACTCTGTACGAGTACAAGAAACCAATTCGCTAAGGATTTCTGCTTAGTTGAAAAGATGTGTCGTGGAATGCAAATTTTAGATTCCCCACGTCTCTTTTAACACCTTTATCAACGTCTGTTTTGCTTTGCAATTTTTAGAAAGCACAGATAAAAGCAGAAATCTGAATTGTGTTTCGAAACTATTTTACGATTGTTAAATTAGATGTCGCTAGTGCGTCCGTATTCGAAGCCATGTTATTGTTGCTTCTTAAAAGACAGGAAATATTGATCTTTCACGTTGAGAACACCTTTGAATAACTGTTCTGATGAGACCTATTAGGTCGAAATACGTATCAACAGATACAAAGGCGCTGTTTGCGTGAAATCAAATATTTGCTGTCTTTTTCACAAAAAATAAATATTTTTTATAATATTCTCTAGTCTATAACTTATAAATTATTTCTTTAATCACTATTTTTATTAATTAAAAATCATAATATTACTATGCTAATTCCTTCTATATATATATGGATATATGGATATATATATATATATATATATATATATATATATATATATATATATATATATATATATATATATATATAAAGCAACAAGAAGTCGGGAGAGCTCTCTTCTCTAGCAAATTGGCTGAACCGCAAATTCAAAGTCTCTTACTACGATAAAGGCTATTGAACGATACTTTATATTATAGGAATAACCTTTTATTTCGACATGCATTTACCGTTTACCTTTGAAAACACTATCTTTTTCACTTTTTATCTAGAGAAAAGTCGTTAAAATAAAAATAAAAGATTGCATTTCGTTCAATTGAAATTTCACCATTGTTCTACACGTATTTCGAGTTATATTAACTCTCATCAGGAACACTTGTGGAAGTTCAAACTGAGATAAAGTGCATTCCGATAACGTTCTGTGATAACCGGATAGGGTTTTAATATCATACCTTTATAAAAGACATTTTTTAAATAAATTTTTTATGATACATGGTATATAACCAAATACAGGAATTTAGTTTTCTTGTGGATTCCAATATAAGAGTACGAAATTAGAAAACTAAAGCGAACGATAGAAAGAAATGGAAGCTGATCCTAGATTAGACCAAGACCCACTGGGTTGTAGAACCAATAATGATGATTATGATATATGAACAAGCTAAAATGACGGTGTTAATCAATAGCGGTCAAAAATAAAGTCACTCTTGACTAAAATTATGGTCAATTCCAAGTAAAAATAATGATAAAAAACTAATCCAATTGGAATAAATTATAAATAGAGTGCGATAAAATATTTCCCAAAGTATTTACATCAGTACTAGAGGACATTGTTAAGTTATTAGGATGGAGAAGTCAATGGAGGAATATCTGTCAATGGATAGTATTTGGACTTATACAGTAAAAAAGGACTCAAATGAACATCAATAAAACGAAAATCATGTCAAACAAAGATGATAAATTGGCAATAAAACTGCGGGGAACCTGTCGTGGAAAATGTAGATGAATACGCCTATCCTGGTTAAAAATGTAAAAATAAATAAAGTAAATCAGACAACGGAAATAAATACAAGAGTAAAAATGGGATAAGCTGCCTTTGGAAAGCTGTCTTATGTACTGAAAAATAAAAAAAAAATACCTCAAAAACTTCGAACCAAAGCATTTAATTCTTATATTCTCCCTGCCCTAACATATGGAGACATGGATGTTTACCAAAGCAAATTTGAAAAAGTTAGAAAAAACTCAGTCATTAAATACCATATGCTGGGCATTTCACTTCGGGAACACCAATCTAATTTATCCATTAGAAAGAGAACAACAGTAAAATACGTTATTGAAGATGCAGTTTTATTGAAATAGAAGTGGGTTGGACACAACGAAGGTCTCGAGGATGACAGAGAAATTGGGAGTTAGAGATGTTATGAATCAAAGAGATTCCGAGGAAGACACCAAAAGTGGTGGAGCAATAACATTAAAAGTTTTATGTTCCCAACATGGAAACGTCTAGCACTGAACAAAGAAACATGGAATAATACGGGAGAGGCCTATATTCGAACAAAAATCGAGTAGAAAGGAGGACAAAAATAGGAAACTATGGCTCAAGTTGTCAAAAATTTAGCTCGGAAGAAGATGAAGAAAAAGATGAAGATTAACAAAAATGAACAAAACAGAAACATGATAAATATCGTATCTCGTTCATTAGACTTATGGAAAATAAAAACGCATTGGGAAAACTTATGGTAATCAAAGGAGAATTAAATATTGATTTGGTTTAAAATAAAACTGCTAGAAATAATAACGTTTTAGGAAACGGAAAACTACTTTCTGTGTATAACTATGCTACTGAGTAAGCTTAAAGTTAAAAGTTTACCTTTCGAACAACATGAAATTATAATACTTAAAACCAATATCACTCTGTTCTCCATAATTACTATTAAATTCTTATGGGAAAAAAACCTCCCTTTAAAGGTAAAATTTTTTATATTCTTACGGTTGATTTACGTTTATAGGTGTATTTATTTTTGTTCATTGTTTTAGTACATTAAAGTGTGACTATTATAATTAATACTTTTTTTTGATATTGGTCTGTTCATTCTGTTGCGTAAAAGTATTTAATTTATTTTGTTTATAATATTTAAATGGATTTGTTTCGTCAGAAACAAAATTAAATAGTGTGAAACAAAAGTCACTGAGAATTGTGTAATCTCTAGGTACTTTATTTCCATTACTTGTCCCATGCTAACTCAATCGACTGATTACTATTGTTCTAGTTTTTGAGTTGAAATCGTCATTTTAAATTCTTTTGCTTTTGTGTTAAATCTGTGAACTGGTCTTTGAAGGCTATCTTCATTTTGGGCTATCAATATTGCATCGTCTGCATTCACTATCTTTACTTTATCTACTGCTGCTTTAAAGAGTTCTATAGAACTGCATTTAAACCAGTCCCTTAAATTCTTCAACCATGACACTCTCCTTCTTCCTATACTCCTTCCTCCTCTTATCTCTCCCTATATTATCAGCCTTAATAGTTCATATCGCTGTCCCCTCATTACGTGTGCCAGATATTGTAACTTTCTTATTTTTATTGTGTTTATTATTTTGCATTCTTTGCCCATTTCTCGCAATACTTCCGTGTTAGTTTTCTTCTGTATCCATGCTATTCTGAGCATCCTCCTGTAACACCACATTTCAAAGGACTGTAACTTATTTATGTGTTCTTGCTTCAATGTCCAGCTTTCAAGTTCATATTGCAGTATCGAAACACGTAGCATCTCAGTGATCTTACTCTCAGCTCTAATCTAAGATCTTTGTTGCAGAGAATTATTTTCATTTTTACAAACGCATTTCTTGCTATTTCTATCCTAGCTCTTATTTCGGTTGTTTGAACATTATTGTCTGAAATCCAGGTTCCTAGGTATTTGTATTTATCAACCCTTTCTATCGGTACATTTCCCAAATTTTGTTGTATATTTGTTTTCTTTGTTATTATCATGTATTTGGTCTTTTTTATATTCATTTTTAGTCCATATTTTTCACAGAAACTGTTCGTTTTGTTTAGCAGTAATTGGAGTTGTTCAGCAGAGCTTGCCATAATCACGGTGTCATCTGCATATCTTATGTTGTTAATAGATCTTCCGTTAAGTATTATTTCTTCACTTTGAGATAGTAATGCTTCTTCAAAAATGGCTTCACTATATACATTAAATAGTAATGGGGACATAATACATCTCTGCCTAACTTCTCTCCTGATTTCAATTTCTGGACTGGGTTCGTTATCTATTACGATTTGTGCTCTTTGATTCCAGTAGAGGTTTGTTATTATTCGTAAGTCCCTGTGGTCTATGTTTTTGTCTTTAGAATTTGCACTAATTTTTCATGTCTTACTTTGTCAAATGCTTTTTCAAAATGAACGTAACAAATATGCACATCAACATTCATATCCATGCATATTTGAGCTAACACATTAAAAGCAAATAACGCTTCTCTGGTTCCTAGTCCGTTTCTGAACGCAAACTGACTATTATCTATTCCTTTTTCCAGTTTTTTATTTATACGACCATGTATTATTTTCAGGAATAATTTGAAAATGTGACTTATTAGTGATATTATTCTATATTCACTGCAATATTTAGCGTTTGCATTTTTAGGGATAGTACAAAAAGTGGAGAGTAACCATTGTTTCGGTATGTGTCCTGTTTTTTATACTGAGTTAAATAAGTCTACTATAATGTCAAAGGTTTCATCATTCATGCATTTTAAGATTTCTATAGGGATTTCGTCTGGACCTAATGCTTTACCATTTTTGCTGTTTTTAATTTCCTTTTTTTTTTAATCTTTAAATCCATGTTCTGTTCTACTTCTATCTCAATCTGTTCTGTTCTATTGTCTTTGAATAGTTAATTGATGTATTTTGTCCATCTCTTTAATTTGTCATTAGTATTCAACACAAGTTTCCCATTTGGATCTTTCAGTATTCCCGGTTTTCTTATTCTATTGTTGTGAGTTAATTCTTTAATTTTTTTTTGTCTGCATAATGAGACTCTTAATTTCATTGTTCCCCATTCTATATTCTCTTCCTTTATTGACGCTCTTTATAACGTTTACATTGAATAGCATAGGGTTTGTGAATGTCCTTGTCTTATTCAATTGCCTCTATCTATAGGTTCCGTAAATGTCCATATGTTCTAACTTCCATCTTATTGTTTTGCTAGGCGTTTTCAATTGTTTTTATAATGTCCAGCGGGTATCTCTTTATTATATAAGAGACGTATTTTGTCAAATGCCTTCTTCAAGTCGATCTAACATAGGAATAGACCATATTGCAATAATAATATACAAGACTTTTTCTCCAAGTGAAGATTTGCAATTTGTGCTGTTTGGACAATAATCATATTTTAATATTTTATAATTCAAACAGAGAAATTAACATGAGCGAAGAATACCTTCCAGTGCTGGTACCTTCCGTATTAAATTTAACTAAAATTAATATTTAGTTCCAAAAAATTTACTTATGAAAATCTATCTGGTAAGTCTAAGGGTTGGTGTCTCTTAAGTCTTCTCAATTCCATGCTGTTGTCCAGTAGGTTTACATGTCCGCTTTAAATGCCTATCACTACACTTTTTTATTTCTTTTCTGGCGCATTAACCCTTTCTTTACCAGCGACGTATATATACGGTCTGGGGAAAAGTGCCACTGTTCTCAGTGACGTATATATACGTTTTCGAGTGAAAACGTTTTTAATACCATGCCGTTTGTATACGGCATTAAATTTTTTTTGCACCTCTATCAGCCCCATTGCCGCATATTTCCGGCATTGTTACAGTGCAATCAGCCCCAATACCGTATTGGTACGTTCGGACATGCTTTGTGATGAACCCACCGCCGTATTGATACGACAGCTTCTGAAAAACGGCGTTTCGGTAACTGCCGGGTATGGTTGGGTTTTTGGTCTATTTTTAGCATGCGTCTTGTACCACAAATATCACATTAGCACGGAACGGACTACGCAGTAGTATTCTGCTGTTACTGTTGCAGTACAAATGTATTGTGAAATTTCAAGAATATGTCATTCGAGAAAAAGAAGGTGCTCATGCGATACAGGTGGTTTGTGTGGACTAACGCAAAGAGAATGTGATAATATACTGGCATGCTTCGATTCAGATGAAGAGCCTTTTGTAGGTGAAAGCGATTAGGTACCAGATAGCGATGATTCAGAAGAGAAGGAGATTGTTAATATTATTTATGGAAATGATGAAGCTATTTCTGAAAATGAAGGTGCTGATAGGGTCGAAGCCGAAGTTTTGGTTGCAAATATATCGAGAAATGAACGCAAAAGAGCTTTACCGGATGATTTTAGTATACAGTGGGATAAACAGCAATTTGTTCCTGTCGTGTACGAGTTTGATGACACAAATTCAGGTGCCCATTTAGACAATATTGAGAATCCTGCCAGGGTAATAGATTATTTTTTTTCCTTTCAAAATCCAGGTACAGTTAATTTAATTATACATGAAACAAATAATTTTGCTGTAGCGGAAGTTTGCAAAAATAAAAAGATTGCTTGGTCGCCACTTACAGAAAATGAAATTTTTACATTTATAGCTGTGCTATTGCTCGCAACACGCCTTAGAAAAGCCAGACTTACAGAAAATTGGTCAACAAACAATTTGTTATATACACACATATTTTCTAGTGTAATGTCCCGGAATCACTTTCAGTCTATATTGAGAATGTTACACTTCGCTGAAAATGCTGATCAACATCAATCGGATTCTTATTACAAGGTGCGAGGCGTTTTTTTTTGCAGGTAAAAAACTCATTTACTAATAATTTTACGTCATTCTAAAATCTGGTAATCGACGAAAGTTGGGTTCTGTTAAAAGGATGGCTGCAGTTTAAGCAGTTTATAAGAACCAAACGCCATCGATTTGGAATTAAATTGTATAAATTGTCCAAGAAAGATCGAAAATAGGTCACTATCCTTACTACCATGCACCAAGACACAATGGTAGAATTGGCTAAAAAAGACAGAAAGACAAACGAATTCATTAAAAAACCAGCTTGTGTAATAGATTACATATGAATATGGGAGCAGTGGACAGGACTGACATGTTATTAAGTTAGACAGAAAGCGTCAGAAAAAACATCAAATGGTATAAAAAGCTCTTCTTTCACATATTGTGTCTTTCTATTCTAAATACACATGCAATATACCTTACATAACACCCAGAGGAAACACCATTGGCCCAGTTTCACTTGAATCTTATTCGTCAGCTTCTAGACAGGTATGTGGATCTAATCTTGAAATTGTCTTGTTAGAATGAGATGTTAATTTTAGGTATCATTTACCAAAACATACAATTGTGGCGCCTGTGCGAAACGTTTTTCGTCTTCTATTTAGACATTTTTCTGATATTGTTTCCAACAACAAAGTTCGTAGATGCACTGTTTGCTCAACAACAAAGACTCAAGCAAAGAAACGGCGCGAATCAAGGTACATGTGTCGGGAATATGACGTGGGTCTCTGCACACATCCTTGCTTTGGCATTTACCATACCCAGGAACAATTCTACTGACTACTTTCGTATTCATTTCATATTTAGTTTATAGTTAGTTATTAAAAACACTTTCGTTTTATATTTTTTTGAACATTAAAGATCATTTTCTGAGTTTTTTTTTTTGCATTTAATGAGCAACCGCTGGTACTTCAAAAACCCTGGAAACGGTGGCACTGCGTCGCTAATCAGATCTGGTAAAGAAATGGTTAACAATCTGCCTAAGGACCTTCGATTGGAACCTCTGCAGGATTTCAATATTGGATTCGCTTGCACACCCCGACAGTTAAATGCCATAGGTCCAGATGGGTTTTAAAATTACTTTATACACTTCTACTTTATTTTCTAATCTTAGTTGGTAATCTCTAAATTGGTAATCAGGAACTAAGCAGTTTCCTTCTAAAAAAGAACTCAATTTCTTTGTTATTAGTTTCTCAAGAATATTTGCAAGAATTGGTAATAAAACGGATTCTAAAGGTTTGCCTATTTTGTGGATTAAAATAACTTGAGCCATTTTGCATTGTGAAGGAAAATATTATAATCTTAATACCGCCTTGAAGATTTGTGTTAGTAAGAGGATTGCATTTTGTGGTAATTGGCATAAGACGAATCTAGTAATCAGCCCATCACCAGGCAATACTTAATACTAATAAAAACCTTTCTTTTTTATAGTATTAAGTATTGCATTAATAATTTCAGTTTTTCTAAAAGATTTAATAGGCAGAGATATCTGGTATGGGCAGTCCAAATATCCACGAATATTTTCGTCTCTCTCTGGTTGTAACTCACAGGGAATTGGAGTAAAGGTAGTTTCTAAGTGTTTGAGAAATATATTTTCCTTTTGTCATCAGTGCGTGCACAATGTCTGTTACTCGTTTTGTTAGGAGGTATACGTTGTTGTGGTCGTAACAATTTTCTGGTTTCCTTCCAAAGGGTGTTAATCTGTGGCTTTTAATGGTGATAAATCTCTTAGATATTTTGCAGTTGATGTATTTTTTAGGTCACTTAGCATTTTTTCAGATCTTTTGCTGCTTTCTTAAATGCAGCTTTATTGGTCGGTGTTCGATTGTTTTGCCATGCCTTTCTAAGTTTTCTCTTTTCTCCAATTTTTTGTATAATGGCCTTGGGATAGAACCCCTTGTTAGGTTTATTATTGGTTAGTGCGCTGGATTCTCAGCACGCTTTCTGTATACATGTAGTGAGATGATCCACAGCAGTGTCGAGATCACTTTCTGTCTTTAGACATAAAGTTATGTTTAAGTCATTAGTAATGGTTTCTTTAAATAAAGTCCAATTGGTGTTTGATGAATAAAGCGTTGGAGGTCTAGGTAAATAAATTATTTCAGAAAACAGGGTGAGAAATACTGGCGAATAATTTAGTTGTTAGGTGATACTTTTGGTTATACAGAAATCAAGGACATCTGGAAGTTTTCTTCTGTCTTTTGGCCAATATGTAGGTTCACCTGTAGAATACCTTTTGAGGTTATTAATATTAATTGCCTGAAGTAGTTGTCTGCCACGTGGGTTCATTAATCTAGAGCCCCAAAAAGGGTGTTTTGCATTGTAATCACCACTGGCTAGGATCCTTGATCCAAGTGATTTAAAAATTCAGAAAATTGATTTGTTTTTATTGTGTGCCTGGGAGGGCAGTATAATGATGATATAGTGATTGAAAACTGGCTCACTCCAGTCTTCAATTACTATGTTTGTGGCCTGCAGGTGCAGTATTTTATTGCCTGTAGTTCGTAATGTTTTATACTGCTTTTAATAATTATGGCAAAACCTCCGTGTGCAGTATCATCAGGATAATTTGTGAAATTGTGAAAATTTAATTCTACTACTTTAATACGACTTGTATTAAATTTTGTGTTGAACTTTTGCTTCAATAAATATAAAATTAAGTCATAACTGGAGTAAATTTATTTATATTCATTTTATTTATTTGTTTATCAAAGAAGTTTATAAAATATTAATACAGTGTTTGGAGTTCAGGGACCTGGAGGTTTTTTAGATGGACCTGAAGGTGGACCTAAAGATTTTTCAGGTGGACCTGGAGGTTTTTCAGGTGGGCCTGGAGGTTTGTTAGATGGACCTGAAGGTGGACCTAAAGATTTTTTAGGTGGACCAGGAGATTTTTCAGGTTGACCTGGAGCTGGGCCTGGAATATTTTTAGATGGACCTGAAGGTGGGCCTGAAGATTTTTCAGGTGGACCTGGAGGTTTTTCAGGTGGGCCTGGAGGTTTGTTAGATGGACCTGAAGGTGGGCCTAAAGATTTTTTAGGTGGACCAGGAGATTTTTCAGGTTGACCTGGAGCTGGGCCTGGAATATTTTTAGATGGACCTGGAGGTGGGCCTAATGATGTTTTAGCTGGACCTGGAGGTTTTTCAGGCGAACCTGGAGGATTTTTAGATGGACCTGAAGGTGGGCCTGAAGATTTTTTAGGTGGACCTGGAGGTTTTTCAGATGGACCTTGAGGTTTGCCTGGAGGTTTCCCGCCTGGGCCTGGAGATTCCCCAGGTGAACCCCCAGGTTTTTTAGGTCCTCCACTTTGACATCCGGCTCGGTTAGGCCAATCACAAGCTAATGTTTTTGGATTGAAGTGAGTTCCAGGTCCGCAGGACGATATAAAGTTCCCAGGGCATAAATAAAACTTTCTGCAATCATTCGGATGAGGAGCAGGTTTTTCATTGATACATTGCGCCAAAGAAGCTGAAATAAAAGTAAAACTTATTAATAAAGACATTTAAAAAAAATACAAAAATTTATGTTCTATATAAAATATTTAGTATAAAGTATTTATATAAAGTATTTATTGTTCTATATAAAAATGGAATGGAATAAAAAAATTAACGGTATATAAAAACGTGTCAAAACGCTTCCGCGCTTTAATCCTTTCTTTATTTCTATAATTTCGTGAGATCATTTTTTCTTTAAGTGTTGTTTCCACAGTATTTTTCTTACAACTTCGCAAAATTTAAAAGCTAATAAAAGATCCAGTTACATCTAGATATTTTCTCTGAAATGTTTTAAATAATAAAAGCCGCCAAGAATTAACAAATTCGACCATAGCAAATTCAACCATTATTGAAGGAAATGTTATTTGTCAACTAAAAAAATATTCTTTTGTTCCTGTATATAGACCTTATTTCTCACATTCACGCATTTCCCACATTGACTCGAAGTCTGATGAGTTTGATATTAATTTTTCTAATATTATTCTTATATATATATATATATATATATATATATATATATATATATATATATATATATATATATATGAGTGGTTTCCCCTATAAACCACTCACATGCAAAAACCTTATATATATATATATATATATATATATATATAAGGTTTTTTTAAGGTGTATAAGGCGTTTTTTAAAAAAACCATTTTCTACAACTAATTTCGAGGATGATTTACTAACAGTCGCACTTTATTTTCAGTTTTTCCTGATGATGAAAATAAACATTTTCGAAAGCTTGAAACTTAGTTAAAAGAGTACACTTTTTTCACCGCTGAATAAATCCCAATAAACCTCAAAGCTCCGTTTTCTAACGTTGTCAGCAAAGACTTCTTTTCGTTATATATATATATATATATATATATATATATATATATATATATATATATATATATATATATATATATAATAGGCTGTTAGCCAACAGCCATCGATACATTAACGCTGCATTTTATAGGCAGCTTATAAATGAGCGTCTTAAGGCGGCTACACGCACAACGGAAAAACCGAAGGCATGCCTTAAGGGGACAGTCTCATGCGAAACTTTCAAAAAATCAATTTTATTTTTTTTTATATAAATCGCTTCCATATACATTCAAAAACTCCCTCCTAAAATTTTAAAAAGAAATTCCCACTAGAATATAAGTTATAGTTATTTTATTAATGTCATCTACGCACGTATGAAAACCGGTTTCCCTCCGCGCGGCGAGCGCGAGGCTCCAGCTGTTCTTGTTTTTGAATATATGTTGTATATACGTTGGGTATGTATTAGGGATTAATTTTTATATAGTATGTATATCTGTATAACGTTTGGCGTTTACTATACACATTTAAATCCGGAACATAGGATTTTTTTACAAATACTAAGATTCTCTGCGTTGCAATTAACCAGTGTAAATTTATTTGTTCCACTGGATTACTTCTCCTTAGCGGTTTATAGTAGCGTATATGGCACGCCGATAGTAGCGTATATGCCACGCCGACAGTGTTGCTCCGTCTACCGATTTTTCCTGAAAGTCCGGTTTTGTGCAGATAATAAATAATGTTTTATTAACATCAATTTTGTTTGTGGTCATTAGGTATTATTTGAGTTATAAAATTTATACTTAAATACATTTATTATTCCAAATATTGTTTATAATTTCAAATTAAAAAGAGTGTAATATAATTATTTTATTTTTAAAATTCCTTTTTATTTTTAATTTTAGAAATCAACTTTTTTTTTCAAGCCGTTTTGGCAATAAAACATAACCATTTTTTTAGTTATAAAATATTTTCATATCTACATTTATAAATAAGTACGTTTTCCTTGAATTGACATGCGATCTAGGTGTGTTCCGTTTTTACTCTTACACTGGCAGCATCGCGGCGTGAATTGAGACTTAAGTCGAACATGAACAAATGAATTAATTATAAAACATCGGGACGTTGTATTGAAATTTACAGCTTTACAAAGCCATTTACAACAACTGTTGGATGAAGAGGGTCCTCAATATTCACCAGGAATGGCCGATTAAACGTGAGTATGAAGTTATCAGCCTTTTATTCATGAAAATTATGTAAAAAAAACTTTAAATGCTTTTTTCTCAAAAATAACATTTTCAAACTGGTCAGACACTTTTCTCCGAACATTCTTAACCGATTTTAAAAAACCAAAATTTTTTCGAATGTACATACAAAATACTAGATGATAAACCTTTAAAATATTTAAAAACCACCTCCTCTTTTATTATATATGGGTAAATCCACCGAAAAATATAGCGATTTTTCGACTTTTTTGAAAAAATTCGTATAAATTCTTCAAAATAATACAATTTGCATATTTTAAAGGTTTATCATCTAGTTTTGAGTCTCACGAATACAACCCATTTTGAATTTTTTGAATATCTGTTACAGGTGACCCACAAAGTGTCTTACCACCAAAAACGCACTTTTTACTACACGCCATCTACAGGACACCAATGAAGTTAAAATCGCTATTAAAATTTTTTTTATGTACTTCAAGACTTACTTAATCATCTCCAAAAGGAATTATGTTAATAAATATTATAGTTTTTTTTCTGTTTTAATTTGAAAATGTGTCTTTTTTTTAATCGCATGAGACTGTCCCCTTAAGGCGAACCCAAAAATGTGGAGCCTCCACACACTACGTAATATATGAAGGCCATCCTTAAGGCACTCCAGTTTGTGTGTTCCTCAGTTTATTTTAGTTCAGTGAATGAATATTTATTGTAACTCCATATTACTTAACAAAGTTCATAATTTTGATGAACTCTGTAGAATAAATATTCAAATGATTATATCGTTGCAAGGGCGATAAGGAGACCTTTCAAATGAGCCGTCGCGTGACCTCGGTTTGTATTTAAAAAATCGTCGATTACGTCATTACGCAGACACTGATGACGTAATGTCCAATACGTATATAGCAGTTGATGGCCATTCAAAAATTGAAAATGACGTGTTTTAAGATTTTAAAAGTCGTCTGTTGATGAAATAATAAATTTATTCCATACATTTGCATCATACTGTATATATATATATATTATATATATATATATATTATATATATATATATATATATATATATATATATATATATATATATATATATATAGTGAAACTTCTCAACACCGGACACCAACAGGGAAAAATAATTGTCCTTAGTGTAGAGTTGCCCGTTGTGTAGAATTATCGCTAAAGGCGCGTTTTCACGGGTCGATCTGAGTCGAACGATTTGGATCGTTCGACCATCATTCGATCTGTGCCGAAAGCAAAAAGGTTTACACGACAGTCATGAATGTTGAATTAATTGTAATTGATAGACAAAAAAAAATCACAAATGTTATTAAAATTATCTATATTTTTTAAATGTTAATATAATTTGGTACATTGATTTGTAAATGTAATATTTTCGAAGTAAAGTTTTACGTAAATAAATAGTCTATTTATAAATGCACCCTTAAGATGGTATTTTCTTAGATAAAACTTTGAAAACAATTAGGACCAAATTAAATGTATCAGCTATAATGACACTGTTGACATGATCTACGGACAACACTTATTTTTATCTAAATAAGGATTTCTATAAACAAAATTTTTGGACTGTGCTTTAAATCCATTATTAGCTAATATATTGATGAAAGACTTCAAAACAACCATTCCTAATTAAAATTTAAAGTCCACAATATGTTGAAAATATGTAGATGATGTGTTGGATACATTTCTGATTGATATAAATAAAAGGTAAAAGGTTGAGTCAATAAAATTTACAATGGAAAAGAAATAAAATAACTCCTTTTCTGGATGTTTTAATCTCAAAGTAAAATAGTGGATATGGGACTAATGTATACAAAAAACCAACACATATGAAAATTGCCTGTTCTAATAACAATTTGTTTTTGGAAAACAAAAATAATTATTTTCTAACATCTATTTTATTAAAAAATTATTATTCCAGTTTTTCGACATCGATTCGGCGGGAATCGCCTATGAAAAGTAGACAGTCTTTCGACTTCCGTCGAATCGACTCACTCCGCCGAACGACCAAGTCGATTTATGGTTTACATGTTCAATTTGCTTTCGATTTATTAGTCGACGGCCAGTCGATCCAAATCGTTCGACTCAGATCGACCCGTGAAAACGCGCCTTAAGACATTACATTAAATTAAGAGCAATTTCTGGAGAAGTTTTAATCAAAAGTACACTGTAAGTAAATCTACTAAGAAAAGGCTGACCGTATTATTGTATGCAAATTAAAAACGGGAAAAAGAAAAACCTTTGATGATTGGTAAAAGTAAAAAATCCTCGATGTTTTAAAAATTCATCACAGATTCGCTGCACAAATTTGACAGAAAAATACAACGTCAAAAAAGTTGAAACCTCTTTTTTATTTCAATTGGTTAAAAGCAAAACTTTGACTAATGTCAAGCCCAACATTGGAAGCTTTAAAATTCAAATTGAGTTCTTTCGCCTACTACTACAGTGTTTTTTGTACACCTACAATGTTTTGAGATTTTTTAATAGGTTAAACCTGTGCTCAAATAACATGCCCGTGCATTGTGCAGCTAAATCTGCTAGTTCATTGCATAAAAAAGACGTTTTTCTTCTTTGTGCATAGGAATTTGGTAGTCGATACCCTTGTGTGGTCAATGATATAGACATATTATCATTAGATCTACTTGGTAACTCATATTCTGTCGATTTGTTTCGTTTTCTTCAATCAAAGACGGTAATGTTCGTTGGTTGTTTTTATTATAGTCCATTGTCCATATATGATTTACGATCATTTTATCAAAAATCTCTAATTGCAAATGCCGTCTCAATGCAAAAATATGCTTGCAAGGTAAAATCATTGAATCATAGATGATAAAGTTGCACGAAGCAACATCAACAATTCATCAGAATCTTCCGGAAACATATCGACGGGTTTCTTTAAAATACCATAAACTGCCTTATGATCCCTTCCTGTCTCTTAACTTAAAATAATTGTAAAAAAACTGTTTATAAACTGTTCCAAAGGACCATTTTTGGTTATAACTGATTTTAATTTAGAGTGAATAGATTCCAGGCGGTTATTTGTGTTATTTAAAAAACTGTTTTTAACAAATTTTTTTACTAAATTCCATTCATACTTGATATCGTTCTAGTTTTTCATGAAATACTCATACACTGTTCGAGGTACACTATGTTCTAGTCCTTTCAAATATTTTTTGTAATCATCGTCTGTCTTAGCATAGACTTATTTTTGAATTAGTTCTAAATTAAGTGAGTTCTCACTTAGGGTGATCCCCATTTTCAATAAAAGTAAATTAGGAGTTTAGAACATTTAGTGGAACTATGGTGGAACGTCGGCTAGTAGAAAAACCAAAAAAGTGATGGATAGACGAAGTCAGAACCGATGCTAAAGAGATAGTGAGGGTGGATATATTATATAGTGAATTATAGTATAGTATAGGATAGTATAGTATAGTATAGGATAGTATAGTATAGTACAGTATAGTATAGTATAGTATAGTATAGTATAGTATAGTATAGTATAGTATAGTATAGTATAGTATAGTATAGTATAGTATAGTATAGTATAGTAAAGTATAGTATAGTATAGTACAGTATAGTATAGTATAGTATAGTATAGTATAGTATAGTATAGTATAGTATAGTATAGTATAGTACAGTATAGTATAGTATAGTATAGTATAGTATAGTATAGTATAGTATAGTATAGTATAGTATAGTATAGTATAGTATAGTATAGTACAGTATAGTACAGTATAGTATAGTATAGCATAGTATAATATAGTATAGCATAGTATAATTTAGTATATTATAGTATAGCAGAGCATAGTAGAGTATAGTATAGCATAATATATTGTAGCATAGCATAGTATAGTATAGTATCGTATAGTATAGCCAGTATATAATATATATATATATATATATATACTATATATTGGGTTACCATAGTAACCCAATATATGTTGGGTTTTGTGTTTGGTTTTCGTTCTAGGTGGAAGATGTGGAGGAGGTTTAACGGCGGATCGTTACATCAGAGGCATTTTGGGAGAACCTGTGGTTCCATTCGTGGAATTTATTGGTGATGCCTTTATTGTAATGCATGATAATGCATGATGCCATATCGCATGAGTCACCAGCACCTATCTGACTGAGATCGGTATACCTACAATAAATTGGCCTGCGGTGAGCCCGGACGTAAATCCAATAGGGCATGTCTGGGATGAGTTTAAGCGAAGATCCCGGACAGAAATCATGCACAAGGGAGCATAATGGAATCAAGAGCAGCACTTGTAGAATAATGAGAACAATGAATCAATAATTTATGAGAAAAGTCATCTGATTTACGCGAAATTGATTGGAAAGTGCAATTAGGAGTAGGGGTGGTAAAAATAAAGCAATTTCTTTTTGTAATTGATGATTTCTCTGTTCAAATCTTCTTTCTTGCGTTCGTTCCAATGATGAATATTTAGGAAACTCTGTTCGTATTGCATAAGTCTGTTTTTATAATGCCTCCTCCAAATAATGCTATAGAAGTTTTTGTGAGTTCAATAATAAAGTTATTGTTTGTAGATTACATGTTTTTATTTTATACTTTTACATTTAAACAGGAGGTGTAATCTCAAATCTCGCTTTTGAATCGATTGTTTTGCACTTAAGTGTATATTTAAAATGTCATAATAAAATAAATTTTATTGTGTGTAATAAATTATATATAAATATTATATTCATTTCATTTGCTTTTAACAGAGCAAAATCAATCATTCGTATTGAACATAAAATATATGAAACATAAATATATGAATATAATTTATTTTTCAAATGAATGGAATTAAATTTTAAATTTTAAAAATTGTTTAATGCTTACTGATCATCGCCTAATTTCTCAACGGTCTTCTCATATGGCTTTTACTTTTTTTTGTAATTATTTTGTGTATGCTGATAACAGGTTTTCTTTTTGTTGGTATCCACTGTCTAACTTGTTACTTGTCACCCTGTACACTTGTTAACCCTTTCCAGTCAGATGATCCCATTTGGGATCATAGCAATGTTTTTTGCTTTATCGGCAAAGGAAACTACTTATGTCGATTTGGCGAACGGTATTGCGTTGCCTCACCTTCCTACTAGATGACGCTACATTAATTTATTTGACAAACCAGTAATAGCACGAAAAACTTTATTTTGCTTCTTTCACTGTTTTTATTTGATTATTTGCATTATAGTTTGCTCATATTTACAAGATTGTTTATGTAACTATGATAAATATCAATGAATCCAAATGGACTCATTGGGCCATTGTGGAGGTCTCCAAATGGCATCATTGGGAAGTCGTGTGAATTTTGTTTCTGTCAATAAAATACAAACGTAAATTGTACTTTTTTATTTCAGATGGATCGTGTGTTCAAAACTACCAAAACCAAACTTTCTTTTCGGGAATTGCAAAATCTGTCCCAGAAAGAGGTAGTTGGTCTTCTTGACGACTCTGATATCGAATTTGAAGTTGGTAATGAAGAAGAACTTTGGATGAAGAAATGATTCAAGAAACTCACATAAAAGAACTATTGTAAAATATTGTTGAAGATAGCTTAAACACCCAAGTTACAGAGAATATGGAAGAAAAAACTGTTGAAGAAATTACAGAAGAGCCACAGACAAGTCATACCAGGAAAAAAAGAATAGAAAAACCAACTTGGACAGACAACAATTTAATTGATGTCAATAACGAAAACAGTTCTTAGGCACCGTTCTGTATTAAGTAGAACTGCGAGCATATTTTTACGTCAAGATAATTTGAAAATCTCGTCTAGCAACAATGATTATATATACAGTAAAACCTTTTATTGAAACAGTTCGGCAAAATACGAATAAGATAGAATCTGAGAAATTCAACAGAATCGATGAGTTCATTATACCATTCAAAGGACATAGTAATCTAAAACAATATATAAAAATAAACCTAATAAATGGGACATAAAAGTTTTTGCAAGAGCAGGACGCAGCGGCATACTATACGGAACAGTCCAAGATGAATCAGGTCTTGGAGTTAGTGGGGAAATAGTACTGAAGTTGGCCAGAAATCTGCCAAACCAAATGAATTTCAAGATTTTCACGGATAATTGGTTAACATCTTATAATCTACTTATTAGTCTGAAAGAACGGGACTTCCTTGCTGCAGGGACTGCAAAAAGTAGGCGGCTGGCAGGTTGTTTTTTTCAAAAGACAAAGTTCTAATGGCAAAAGGTCGTGGATCCTCTGATGTAAAAATAGACAGCAAAAAAAATATTACTGCTCTCAAATGATATGACACTAATGTAGAAATCGAACAATTGTCAAAGAATATAATATTTCGATGGAAGGTGTGGATTTGCATGATATGCTTGTGGAACTATACAGAATCAAAATCTGTAAATCAAATTCTATTTGAGAATAATACCTAATCTTATTGATACATGTATTGTCAACTTCTGGTTAGTGTACCGAAGATACTGCAAATAAAAACAAGTGCAACACATCACCCTTCTTCAATTCAAATCTCAAGTTGGACATGCGTTACTGAAAGCTGGAAAGTCCGACACGAGTAAACGAGGACGTCCTTCTATAGGAAGAGAATACACCAAATAAGAGACAAGCAATCCGGCACCAGTGCAAGATGTTCGATTTGATGGCGTAGGACACTTTCCACTAGGTGATCAAAATCGCACAAGGTGCAAATTATGTATAAATTCTTACTCTAGAATAAAATGTTCCAAGTGCAATGTTTTTTTAATGTTTAAACAATAATAAAAATTGTTTTTATAGTTTACATGTACAAAATTAACTTGTTCATAGTATATAAGTACAATAATAAACGTATTTTCTATTATATTTATATTGATGATTCCAAATGGAATCAATTTTTTTGAGTTTGATGACTCTAGGATGCAAAAGTTTTACAAAAGTTATTAACAATTATTTTTTTTTGTATCGTTGCCTATAATATACATTTTTTTCAACAAAACTTATTGAAAAAGAAAATAATTTGGGCTGGAAAGGGTTAAACAGTAAAACTTATTTCTTTTTTCAAAATACTGGATCGATGTAAATAAATATATACAAAGCAGTAAAAAAATAGTAAGATTCGTTAAGTACCAAAATGCTAAAGAAAAATAATAATAAAGAGAGAATAAATAAAGAATTTAACAATTCATAGTTTTATTATAACACTAGCTGAAACAAAAGATTTTTTGTAGATAAATACGCTATTGACTATGTTATAAATTTAAAAATTTACCTTTTATATAACATGAAAATAAAATACCTAATACCAATCCCACTTTCTTTTTCATGATGGAAAATCTTATTTGGAAACTGTATTTCTAGCGAAATGTAGAGCTTCTTTTATAGCTAAAAATTTTTGTTATTATTTTACAGTGACACCTACATTTGTTTGTGTAATATTAAAATCGTAAATTATCTTATATACAGGGTGTGTGACGAACTATTAAAGGTCTGGTTAAAAGTTGGTCTCTGAATAAGTGCAAGCAAATTACAAATAATGATACATATTATAGTGCTCTCTGCTTTCTTGTTATGCCATGGAGTTGGGGTGTCCACATTGTAACAGTGACGGGCACTCTATCCTCCATGCTATGGCATGCTGGATGATCCATACCTTTTATTTAGCGTATGGCTATATCACAGGTTCATATATATATATACATATATATATATATATATATATATATATATATATATATATATTGTAATAGTTTTGTTTTTATTATTTTTATGTTTTATTGTTAATAAATATAATTTTAATTGAATTGAAGTGAATTTTAAAAGTATGTAGTTCGTTGTTAATATACTATACCTCGGCTAGCTCAATTATTTGTTCTAAGCAATCTGTCACTGTGTGACGTCAACTCTGTAGTCTCCTGGTAGAGTTCAAAAAGAAATTAAACCAAAATTTACTTTATATTTTTGATAAATTAACCCAAATGAAGCACGTTATTTATTAATATTGAACAAATTTAATACAAACAATAAAATTCGTCTGCAACTTGGGTTGCCTTTAAAAATTTACAAAAATAGGAATCGTGTAAACCTTAATGTGTCGTGAAAATAGAATTTGATTACAAAATGTGGAAACTCTCTACAATTACCTTAAATCTAAATGACTATTGCAACTTTATAAAGTGTTTAAATGAAATATAAAGAAAAGAAAACTGAACACTTTATGCCGCTGACTTATAACTAGCATTAAAATATAATCAAAATTTCAAATGATCCCCAAAATTATTATCCAAACTCACTTTCAAACAGTTCTGATTTTTTTTTTTAAAGAAAACTAACTACTCGCAAAATAATCGGTGATACTTGAATATCTATCCTCTCTTCGGAAGTTAAAGGTACGTACTATTATATTTTTATTTTAATGATCATTAATATTTCAATTTTTAAGGCCTATCGCAATTAGTTAATTCATGAATTTTTACTTTTTCAATCTAAATGACATTTCTGCACTCCAATTATAATTTATAAGTCAAAATTTCTCTTACTCTCTGGAACAAATTCTGGATATCTCTATTTGAAAATGTGGAAAAACTAAATTATAATTAAACGATTTTAAAGCACTCCCGGACTATTCCACCTTTTTAGGGCTCTTCCTCCAAAATTTTCGTCGCCTCCAACAACCTATTCTTCCTTGTTCACCGCCATAGCTCGCACCAACCAAAATTATTCGTTGCTAACAGCAACCCACTTTCTTTTTTCATTCCGTCTTCTATTTTATTCAACCATAAAACTGTCCTGTTTTGACATATTTGTCAAACCACATTAATTTCTCATAAGCACTTTAATCACATCTAATTTGGGAATTTATAAAAAAAAATTCAGATATAAAACTTAACAATACTAATATAATTTATTCTTTTCATCTCCACATCATTGTAATTTATTTAACAAAACCCCTATTAATTTAGTTCCCACAGACTTTTGACAGTTTATTTTTCTGACGTTTATTTTTGAAATTTCTATGTTTAAATAATTTTTTAAGAATTCTTCTTTTTTATTCCTTTTAAGGTTTAGACGATTCACCTATACACTAGGCAACTATACTATTCAGAAATTATTAACACTATACCAGGTAAGTCAAAATTAATTTATTTAGCAATTTACTAATCTTTTCTCCCTTTTATTTCAGAGTCGACCCCACATTGTGATGGCTTCATGAAATTCATGAACAACAAACTCATATAAAAATCCCTTTAAGTTATATCCTCTTTGACATATTGAAATCATTTCAACTTCCCCCCAATTTGGATTTTGTTCAGTGCTAACTATCAGCACTTACTAAATCTAAATTCTTACCGATAAACTTAAACATTTTATTAATATTAACATAACAATAAACTGACTTTTATTAATAAGCATATCTCTTGAATATTTTTTTTTTTAATAATTTACTCTATGAAAAATACAGACTTCTCCAAACAAAATCTACAAATCTTTCACTAATTATATCAACTTCAGAATCAAATTTCCAAGTACTTTCCCAATTTCATTACTTCTTTTCCTGTACTATTTATTTCTCGTACTAATTTCGTAGAAATTCTTATAATTGTTCCCCTCTTTATTTTATGTTTTTATTTATTTATTTATTTCCGCATATACTATTTCAGTATCTTTATTCATTGCCGCATTATTATTTATTCTTTTTATATCCCCATATAATATTCATTTCATCATCTCTACATACAACTCTCTATATTTCATATTTCAATATTTCATATAATTCTATTTTTCATCTTATTTTCGCATATACTATTTATCATTATAATATTCCCTATTTCCCAATTTCTACAAAATATCGATTTGTCCATAGTACTTTGCTTATTTATTTATACTTGTAACTCCTATAAATCTACTTGAAAATAAATCAACCTTTTTTGTTTATATAAATTTATCATTATTCTGTACATTTGTTCCTAATAAATTATTTAATTATCAAATTTATCTCAAGATATGCTTATTTATTAATTATCCTTCTATTTACAAAACTTATATCTTATAATACCAAATTCGTGTCATAATATTGCATTATTTAAATTATTTACAATGTTTTTGTTGATTAGAGTTACTTCTGAACCTGTATCTATAATAATAACTTGTATACTGAATCTTGTATGTACCCTTCAATAAACTTTAAAGTATTAGTGTTATTGTTTTTATTTAATTCCCCAGTATCTCTAATAAACTCCCTTGGATGTTCATACTTTGATAAGTAGACAATATTATGCACATAGGAGCGGTCTAAGCAAAATTTCTCCCTTCTGCATCAACACTTGCTTCCCCCCTATTCTCCTCTGTTCTAACTACATTCACCTGTCTTCTCTCCTCATTTTCCCCCCTATTATATCTTGGATTCCCTTCTCTGTAAACTTCCCTATTTCTCGTCTCCTGTGGATAATTTCCCTGGTTCTGTCTCCAATTATTGCCTCTGTCATTCCCTTGTCTCCAGTTATTCTCTCTATCATTGTTTGGATTCCCTTGTCTACGTTCCCAGTTATATCGTCCGATATCTCTCCTGACATTGTTCAAATTCTCTCCCCTATTTGTAAAATCCCTGCTTCTATTTTGTCTCTCAAATTCTCTTTCCCTATAATTATTCCCTCGATTCACATATCCCTGTCTATTTGCTGTGTTATTCCTATATGTCACTTGCTCTTGTCCATTTCGATTCTGCGTCCCTACACTCCTCTCAATCCTCTGAAGATATCCTGTCAAACTTTCCATCGTCTTTATATTGTGGAGAGCTATTGTTTCTGCCATGTTATGGTTATATTGCCTGGCAATGTATAGGACAATCTCCTCTTCTCGCATAGCCGGTTCTAAATATTGTGCTGTCTGGAATAACTGCATTGCGTACAGATTGTAGTTGGTACTTTTTTCATAATTGAATTTCCCAAAATACAACCGCTCCCTGAAACTAGCCTGTTGGTTTTCTCCCCAAAAATAGTTAATAAACTTGGCCTCAAATTCCTGCACATTATTTATGGAATTTTCATTATTGCAAAACCATAATAATGGCATGCCCACTAACATGTTTCGAATATTCAATTTCATTTCTATTGGATCCCTTACATTCTTTACCTTATTTTTGATGATATCTACAAATATTCTAGGATGTAAGTGATTCAGGTTTCCATCAAACTTTATTCCCCCATCATTATAACTCGGCACCACAGTACTCACTACTCTTGTTTGTCCTAGATTTGATTCCAAACGCTGAATCTCCTCACTTGCATTTTTAAATTTCTCTCTCAATTCCTCAACTTGTCCCTGTAATACTCTATCTCCCTTTTCCGCCTGATTTGCATGCATACCCATTTCCAGTTCCAAATTCTGCAATCCCTTCTTTATATTATTTTTTATAATGGTAATTTTTTCCTCATAATCCTGAGTTTGCCTTTTAACACTTTCTACCTCCCTAACAATCTCTTTATTCTGCTTATTAACTTCTTTGTTTATTTCCATTGGTAAATTCTCTTTAATGGCTGTTCCCAACTCTACAAATCTGCTCCCAATTTCCTGTCCTATTTCCGCTCTAATTATGGCCTTTTCTCTGGATATCTCCTCCTGTACATTCCTCTTAAAATTCTCACTTTCTCCTCTGACCTGTTCTACTTTCTCTTCTAAACCTTGGGTAATTTGTAGCATCTCTTCCCTGACTATCTTCACTTCTTCTTTGATTTCTTCCCTCATTTTAATTAACTCTTCCCTAAGTTCTCCTTTAATATTATTTTTCATTTTGTTCATATCCCCCCTAATATTGTTAATATTACTATCCATTTTGTGCATATCTCCCCTAATATTATGATCCATCTGTTGTAACATCCGCATTATTTGCCTCATATCCATCTGTGTCATCCCTGACTCTCCAACATCTCCTTCCCTACGTCTCTCCTCCTGCACTCTACATTCATCCACACTTTCATCACGTCTATCTCTCACTGTCTCATCCAACTCCTCTCTCAAACTATCTGTTAGACTTCCCTCTCTATCACCTTGTCCTGCTTCTTGTCTGCCTTGCTCTAAATATTGTACTACAAATTCTCCTGATCCTCCTCTGCTTTCTTCATCTACCTGTATACCCTGTTCCTGTTCTAACACCTGTTCTCCTTCACTCTCTTTCGGTACGATTTCTTTTCCATTTCTTAAAGTCATTCGGTCTGCCATTTTATCCTTATCTCTATTTATTCTCAAATTTAACTTTAACTACCCCAGAATCTCTACAACTCTAATCACACCAATTTGTTTTTATTTTAATCTGTGTATTATTAATAAATCTGCTTAAAAAAAAACACCCTTATT